CCCATGCCCTAGCCCGCATGTAGAAAGATGACCGACATGCACACACTCTCTAGTACACCCGCTTCAATCTGCGCCTCGATGAGGCCGATGGACTGGATTTCTAGTGTGCCATTTGGCGCTTATTTCGCCCGCATCTTGACAATCCCTAAATGGATGGAGTTATTGTAGCTATTTCCATAGTGGAGGTTCTAAGAACGTAATAATGAATGTCGAACCCAAAAGAAGCTTAAGGTAGGATTCATATTCTCGTGAGTTCTATCTACCAATGATACAACACTACGTACACCAAACGTTTCTTTGCCTAGACCTTTCTAGTAAAAGATAGTTTGCAAGTTTCAAAGAAAGCAAGCGTGGAGTAACAACGGTAGGTGCTGCAAAATTGAACCTAGGTAAGGCTGTGGTACTAGATCACTATTCATGCATTACAATTTTACATGTGAGAGAGTCCTATGCTTACATGCTGAAAAAAATCCATTTATCGCATATAGTTATGATTGAAACCCCTACCAAGCATCTGCAGCTACAAAAAAATTATTAAGGTAAAACCTAGCCATATCATTAAGATGTAAGGGTCCACTATATCCGATATGCAACAATTCAGAAACTCGATCTACGGTAATATCTATCACTCGGGTCATCCACCTTAAGCAAACTTATCACATATTGTCAGCATTTTGGGAACCAGGGTACCCAGACTTGCCTGCCTGCGGCCCACGGTGTGGCTCCATCGACAGCCTGGTGTGGCCCATCTTCGGCACCTTCGAGACAAGACCCTCTCAAGGGGCCAAGCCTCGCGAGGCGGACAACGCCGAGACCTCCGGAGGGAACGGCCTCCTCAGACTGGCTCCCGAGGAGTGGAGATTTCTATGCAGGTGCCCACCTCATGAGGTTGAGGTGACGCAGAGCAGCAGGTTTCCTCTTTGGAGCTAAGGAGGCAAGCGCAGACGTGGGGTCCCAAGAAATCAACCAAAGGTTTCCATTCCCATGCAACAAGACCAAGACCGCCAGGACGGCAGGACGGATTTCATCGCCGAGCCCACCACGGCGTCACGATAGCTTTGTAGGCGAAGACCACCTTTCGTCAGCATAGGATGTATTTCTTTGTCCCCCTTCAAAATTGGCCACTTTGGGATCCCTTCCCGCCTTCGCTTGGAGGAAGAGGACCAAGACCACTATAAATATAGGCTAGTCACTACTGTAGGGGGGACGATCCAATCCTCAGCTCACACCCACACAAGAACAGACCTTGTGAGGTTGTTCTTTCCCTCTACTAGTTCATCCTTAGTCCCTCGTGAGGCTAATCCACACCAAAGTAGGAGTAGGGTTTTACACCGCAAGGTGGCCCGAACCTGGGTAAACCGCTGAGTCCATCTTCTTCCTTGTTCACCGAGCTAGGCCGCGGGGACGACGAGCAGGTCGGCTAGAGAGGTTGAGTTCTTCGCACACGCCCCAGAGTTCAAACCTTCCTTGGGTCTGCGGAGCCCTAAATCCGACACATATTGCAAACCCTAAAGTGTGATCCAACATACACACATGTTGATACCTAGGCATTAAAGAACAACCACATATCATAACATACAATTCCTATCAATCCTAATACATCATCAATCACCATGGGACAAAAGGATATACTCAGACATAATAAGAGTGCAAGACATAATCGGTAAATAATTATCACAATAAGCACCCTGTTTAAGTAGGGGTGTTGGAGAGTGCATGACTATATGTAGAGAGGAAAAGGCGATGGAGATGGTGGTGAAGTCGGTGGAGACGAAGGAGATGACGGCGGTGATCACAGTTCCCCCAACAACACTCTAGCGACACCCGGAGAGATGGGGAGACCCCCTCCTTTTTCTCCTTTCTTGCCCACCTCCTTGGTGGGGGAAGGTTTTCCACCTCTGTTTCATGGTGTTCATGTCCCCCAGAGGGTGAGAGCCTCTTTTGAGATTGGAACTTTTTATGTCACCTTTCTATATTTCCTCAATGCTAAATATGTGTCCCATCGCCGTTTTATCAACCACCGGAGTTTTGTAACCCCGAAAAGTCCGGAAAAAAATTGGAGGCTCGGAATATTCCACAGCAAGGTTGCGACCCATGGGCAGTCGGAACCGACCTTCACAGCCACCACACGGCCTGGGCAGGGGCGCGTGGACGTGGCGTGTGGGAGGCACCCTGTGCACCCCTCTTCAACCCATGGGCTCTTCTCGTGTAAAAATTTCCTTGTCTGGAGATTCCGAAATCACTGGAAAAAAGTAACTGGAATTTGGCACTTGATTAATATGTTAGTCCAATAGAAATATTCTGAAATTATGCCAAAACTATGTATATAAATGATGCAAATATATCACAATAAGATGTGCTGCAATTTATTTTAACTTGTAATGAGGTTGTACTTCAGTCGCTGAGATTCAAACACTCGTGACTGCAACTCATGGAAAAAGTGAAGGGGGGTTGTCTGCCAATTGCATGTCCACATTTTTTAATTGTTCATTATTATTTTTCATTTTTAATTTTAAAAATCATTTTTCAAGAAAATATGTTAATTTTTTAAACTTGTCGCGGTCCCAATATGATTTTTTAAAGTCATTTTTTTGTTTACTAATTTTCTTATTTTTTACAGTGACCGCATTGTATTTTTTTAATATTTGAGATACTTTGTACCTTTTTGCAAAAGAGATACTTTGTACTTTTGGGATCATATCGCAACACAAAATATTCCCTGGACACATTTTCCGTTCACCTTTTTAGTAGTAATTTTTATAATAGGTTTGATCATAACGCAAAAGGAAAAAAAATACCTCGGACATATTTTTCTATTGACTTTCTTAGTAGTCATCTTCTCGCCAATTAATAAAAAGCAGTCCAGGAGACGACAAGCGAATGAAACACAGAGAGCAAAAGAAGGATGAACGAGAAGTTTTTTATTAACACGGTACAATCGAGGTCGCTCACATACACGAGCGTCCACTCACTCCTATGAACGCATGCAAGCACACTCTATCCTTATGAGTACATCCGAGGGACTGAGCCGGCATAGCATCTTGAGATTTTACAAAGTCACAGTAGTCGAAGGGAATGTCTCCTCCTACTGAACGAACATCGTCGGAAACCTGAAATAAATTCAAGAATAATGTAAGCACCAATGTCAAGTTTAGAACTTGAACCCTGGTGAGCTGGGGATACCACTGTCCTCCCAACCATCCAATCACAGGATGATCTGCGACGAACGAGAAGCTGTAGAAAAATAGGTCAGGCTTATTCGTATGCTGTCATTAGAGACTTTAACGAAGTCTCAGTCGACTCAGCCTTAGAAGAAGAAGAGAAAAACTCATTCTTGAATTTGTGGCACGGTCTTGAAGTATACTGCCAGTAGCATTTTTTAGTACAAATAATCGATATCGTCAAGTACATTTCTTTGTTGAAGACTTTTTTTTTCTTTGTGAAGACTTCTTGGTCAGACTCGAGTCTTGAGTGGGGCGGGAACCAACGCCGCATCCGTTGACGCCCACCCACCCACCCACCCAGCACGACGGTCATCTCACGCCCGGACCCAGCAACTTAATTACGATCGTACACGGCAGGCACTACGGCAACACACGCTACATGCCCGGCACGAAGCTGCGGTAACATCATGCCGCCGGCGGCGCTGCCCAGCTTTGCTCCCCTCCGCGTCGCCACCTCCATTGCCATGCTGCTGGTTCAGCAAGCTCGTCTGCTCCCAATGGCCGTGGCGCGGACCAAACTGACCGCGGGAGACACCCTGACGGTGCCGGACTACATCACCAGCCCATCCGGCAGCTTCGCCTTCGGCTTCCGTGCCCACGACTCCGACCCGACCCAGTTCCTCCTCGCCACGTGGTTCCGGTTCGGTTCCATGCCGCCGCAGGCGCAGTCCGTGGTGTGGTTCGCGAAAGAGTCCGCCATGGGCACCACGCCTAACGCCACGGCACGGTCCGTCCTCAGCATCCCCGCCGACGGCCAGCTCAAGCTCACCGACGGCAGCATAGAGCTGTGGAGGGCCCCGACCCCCAGCATGAAGCGTGGGTCCGTCCTCGTGCTAACAGACTCCGGCAACGTTCAGCTCCTCGGGGACGGCGACAACGTGCTCTGGGAGAGCTTTGGGTTCCCGACGGATACCCTCCTTCCGGGCCAATCTTTGGAGGGATTTCTCTTCTCCAAGCGCGCAGACACGGAGTTCACCACGGGTCGGTTCAGCTTGGCAGCCCAGAGCGACGGTAACGTCGTCCTCTGCATCGACCTCTTCACCGGTGACATATTGCAAAACGCCTACTGGGCCACAGCCACCAACGGCCCCTACGGCAACACGACCATCACCTTCGACGAGTATGGCCACCTAAGCTACACTCTACATGACGGCAGCATCAACAACTTGATTTCGCCTCTCGCCACTGGAAGGAACTATGTCCGGTTCGCCAGGATGGACCCCGACGGCATCGTCCGTGCCTACGCCCGTCCTAAACATGGCGGCGTTGGCGGCCAGAACACGACTTGGACCATGTCGGGCACGCTCCCCAGTGGCGGGGGCTGCAAGTTGAAGACGACGAGGATGCAAGGCATGTGCGGCACTGGGTCGTACTGTGTGGAGACCAAAGAGCGGCTCAACTGCCTGTGCCCGAGTGGGTACACTTACATCGATGCAGAGCATACTCAGAGTGGCTGCACGCCGGGGTTTGAGCCACAGAGGTGCGGCGAGGAGAACATCTCTGACAAGTTCTCACTTGTAGAGCTGCCAAACACCATCTGGGAGCTCTCAATATACTACAAGAAGTTCCCATCGGTCTCAGAGGAGCAGTGCCACGACTATTGCCTCAATGATTGCTTTTGCGCGGCAGCGCTGATGATCAACGGATCCGACTGTGTCGAGTTGGGGGCACTCGTGTATGGGCGGCAGGGAAATGAAGTCACAACGAAGGCGCTGATCAAGGTGAGGAAGGGGAATAATACTTCTTACAGGCAGACACCGCCGTCAAAAACGATGACGATACTTGTAGGTCCATATAAGATCGTCACCATTTGCTTGGCCTTACTCTTAGTGATCTCCCTCGGCGGCAGCCTCATGGCATTGTATTACCTCACCAGGAACAGAGATAGCCAAAGGTTGTTGAGCTCGAGCGTGAGATCGTTTAGTTGCAAGGAGCTTTACCAAGCCACCAATGGCTTCAAGAAACTGTTAGGCAAAGGGAGCTTTGGGGAGGTCTACAAAGGAATGATAAGATCACCGCAGCCGTATCTCATTGCGGTGAAGAAGCTGATCGACTCGAACGAGTACTGTGAGCAGGAGTTCACCAATGAGGTGCAGTCCATCGGTCAGATCCACCATCGAAACTTGGTTCGTATGATCGGCTACTGCAAGCAAGGTAAGCATCGGATGTTGGTTTTCGAGTTCATGCCCGGAGGGTCTCTCCGTGGCTTCCTCTTCAACCCTGAGAGGCGACCACCTTGGCGCTGGCGCGCTGAGGCCGCCCTCGCCATTGCTCGGGGACTTAAGTACCTCCACGACGGCTGCATTGCCCCTATCATCCACTGCGACATCAAGCCTGACAATATCCTATTGGACGACTATGGAATCCCCAAGATCACCGACTTTGGGATCTCCAAATTGTTGGGGAGCCAGCAGGTGCACACCACAGTGACCCATGTCAGAGGTACCAGAGGGTACATCGCGCATGAGTGGCTCCGCGGCGATGCACGCGTTGACACCAAGGCAGATGTGTATAGTTTCGGTGTCGTCCTACTGGAGATGATTTGCTGTCGGAGGTGTCAGGAGCCGGTGACTCCTGTGATGCCACAAGGGCAGGGCATGGAGATCAATGAAACGGTCACGTTGTTCGGTTGGGCGGCCCAACTGGTTGTCGCACGAAGGACAGAGCTAATGCTACATGGTGATGCAGATGTCAACACCGCCGAGGACATGGAGAGAGTAGAGCGGTTCACCCGTGTGGCGCTCTGGTGCATCGAGCCAAACCCGCTGCTGCGGCCGACCATCCACCAAGTGGTGCAGATACTGGAGACCAATGATGGGGTGAAGGTTCAGGCACTACCCGACCCTCCAGACTGTTACATGGAATCCTCGCCCTTAATTCCTCAGCTCAGGATGGAATGAGAACACAATTCATATTTCTAGCTTCCAAATATTTATTCATGAAACTTTTTTTACTTTTCAGGAAAACATAATTTGTGTCCCAGTGACCCAGTCCAAAAAGAATTGAGCCCATAGAAAGTAATGAAAATGGATGTGCGACATGGGGACAGGATTGTGTTCCCTAGATGAATATGTCTTATTTTACTGCCTACCTTTATCAGCATGCAGTAGGTTCATCTGATAAATATATATATACCAAAATTAGTGGTTGATGATTCTCGCCATACATTAACGACAGGAGTGGAAACTATCTCAAAAATTAATTAGTGGTTGATGATTCTCGCCATACTTTAAGGACAGGAGTGGAACTGGCACATACACTATCTCAAAAATTGATGCCAGAAGATCACAATATCGAATGTGGGTGTGGGTGGACCATGCTCCAGACCAATATCTTCGTCATCCTTGTTGAGCTCAGCGGCAAAGCCCTCGAACATATGATGTTAGCTCCTGATCTTTGCATGTCTCTTGGAGTTTTGTAGGATTCCCTTATGATTTCTTTCTACGGGATTTTTTCCTAGAGACAGAATGAGCCCCTGAAGGTTGGCGGCGGCGCAAACTACATCATGTGGTTGTGGCGCCTCACAACACATACATACGACATACGCCCAAATAAAGCCGCCTGTCAAACAAAGCATGATATATAGCAATTCACACACGCAATTAGTGGGGTGATAACGTTTTACCAAGTCATCATTCTGTAGGTCAGTCAACCTTGTCGTCATAACAAGAATACCACCGAATGGTGAAAACACAACAACATTGGTCCAATCAGGGAGACTCCTATCGCTCTCATTTGGTCGAGAAAATGGTTTATGGCCCCACGACAAGCACCAACTATTACATTTGTTTTGTTTTAGAAATTCTTAAATAACATATATAGTGGAGATGACCCTAGATTTCTAAACTACTGATACATGCTGTTATAAAAAACATCAGTACTTACTTCAGGGAGGAAGGACAACCGTATCAGCTTGATGTCAGGGTTTTCGAAAAAAAGGTACAACCTCTGAATCATGAGCCAGCTTTCTATTGTTCAAAGGAGTTTTTTTTCCAGGGAAACAAGGTTGGTGTTGAGAGCAGCTTATCTCAGCCCAGGGTCATCTATACTCACATGCGAATAGTAAATATAGCAAAGAAATGTGAATTTTTTTTTACATCCAACATGCTCGAGTTTACTAGGAGCTTGCAAAATTTTGAGCTCAATTGATATTTGAGGAGCTGCAAAAAAAACAAGGTTCAAAGTTTCTTTCAGAGCCATTTTTTAAGCTCACTTGACTTGAGTCCTAGGGTTATTGCGCTTGCCCAGAGAGGGAGGGGATTGTGAAGAAGGCAAGAGGAAGCATGGATACATAGCTTAAGGCAAGTGGAAGAAGCGACGCCGATGAGGCAGATAGCGGCAGGGCCGGCAGTATGATATGATGCCACCCCGTCATCTCATACTCCGTGCCACTTCTGTCCCCTGGCGATTGATATAATTTACTGACCCAACAGCTTGTGTTGCGCTATGCCGCTCCACGGTTAGTAAGATAAGGCCTTTATTTTACCCGAAAAAGAGGCCTCACTGTACTAACCTCCGTTTCATACTCCATCATTTTTAGCCTAAAAAAAAGAGAGTGCAGGATGAAACGCTGTTTGATTTAAAATAAGAAATTATTTTTAAATTCTATCAAATTTGTGCAAAACTATAAGAAGAAATTTGGTTGTACTTGGGAAGATAAGTTGGCATATCGGTGGAGGAAAAAGAGACAGAAACTTTATTTATTTAGACTGAAAAAGGGTAGCATCACCAGTGACAGTGCGAGTGGTTTTTTTCAAGTACAGTAAATCCAAGTTGCAGCCACATTTGTGCTAGAAAAAAAAACTCCATTTGTGTCGGTTCAAGAGCAATCAACCAATCAACGAAAAGGGACCACAACAATAGATACATATCACTGTTATTACACAGAACCATGCAACTAAGTTCACCTGTCAGTCAAGAAATACTTCCATTTTTTGTGCTGATTTGGATGATTGGATTTGGATCAAACCATAAATAAACTCCCACTACAAAAATAGACTTGTATTTGGTCAAACATTTAGTGCTGGATTATTATCTGAAAAATGGAATTTGAATTACTTCCCCTCTACAAAAACAGACTTCTGATCGTGCATTACTTCAGGAAGTTCTCCATTTCCATTTTATAGGAGATATGTTTCCATGTAGCAATTCTTCAGTTCCCATCTACTCCCTCCGTTCCTTAGATGGACACGGTGACCAAGGAAACAAAATATAGCTAATTTAGGGCAAAATTACTCTTAGCAAATTTATTGGTTAGTGACAAGTAATTTGGTTAAGCTATGAAATGAAGAGATACTGAAAATCAGGGGAGAGATATTCTCCTTCTTTTTCTAGAAAAAGAGATACATGCAATCAGAAGAGAGATTCTTTCATTTATTCTGGAGGGCTAAAAAAGGGATTATGAGAAATTAAAAGAAATGCACTTTACATTGTAGAATTTTATCATAAAACACATACAGTTTATATAAAGGAACGGAGTGAGTATACACTAAACGCTGCTTGGGTTCAGAGGTAGAGCTGCAAATCTGCAGTGCCATGTCTGCAGGGATCTCAAAAGCTCGGGCCCAAAATCTATTTCTGTTGGACTTCCACCTATGCTGCGTGGGACGAAGAGAACAGATACCAGTGTGTCCTCTGAACATGAGAGAAGAACAGGCCATTGAACTGAATATGCACAACACAGGACGAGAGCTCTGGTCCAAGAAATATCATTCAACAACACAATTTAACCATGAACTACACACAGAACAACATATATATATACATCCGTATGTAGTCCGTATTAAAATCTCTAAAAGGCTTATACTTCTTAGAAACAGAGGTTTGATGTACTCTACCTAACGGAACAAGCAGTCCAGTAAATTTCGTGATTAAATACTTGTTACTTGTACATCTTATTATAATGAAAGAACAATGATCCTTCACAGAGTACACAGTACAATGTTACAGATGAGCCCAGATGATTTCTACCATGAGCTGTTCCTGATTGAGCAAAAATGCATCGAGAAACTACAATGATTAGCTCAAAAACATGGCCGTAGATGTGGGTGATAACGGCCACGGCATCATCACGTCGTCGCTGCACCTTCGGATCATCTCAGGTGAGAAGGCTGGACAAGAAGGCAAGCCGTAGATGGCTTCAGGCTCTTGCTGTGCTCCCTCCTCCACGCCCGAGCTCGCATCCATCTGTTGGTCTGAGGTTATGGTCTGCACGAGCCCTGCGGTGTGCTCCTCTAGCTGAGGTGCTGGTGCGCACGGCTCGCTCACCACGTCGTTGTGATACAAGCTCAAGAACTCTTGCTCGGTGTTGCATAAGAAGTTACTACGTGGTGGAGCAGCGCCATCTATCTCCGGCTGCGGATCGACGCCGGCAAGCAATGCAAACCAGTCTGTCTCTTGGTCGAGATCGACGACGTCCAACTCTGCTGCGTCCAACAGGTCTGCCTCGGGTATAATTTCGTCCCCAGCGTCAGTGTGCCCATGGTGGCCATGGTCATCGAACATGATCAAGTCGGGCAGATCGGGACTCTCCACAGGCTGTGGGTGTTCGTCGTTTTCAACCATGTGCCGAGGCCGGGCGCTCGCCCTAGTATCCTCGAGGTGGCCACTGGCCGCCTTCCTCTTCTTGCAGGTATCGGTGTCGGCAACGACATTGATGTGTACCTAAGGCCATTAGTTGAAGAACTCTTACAACTGTGGAATGGAACATGTGTACGTGCGTGGGATGAGCACATGGGGAAAGAATTTGACCTAAAGGCGTTGCTGTTCGTGACCATCAATGATTGGCCTGCTCTCAGTAACCTTTCAGGACAGACAAATAAGGGATACCGCGCATGCACGCACTGTTTGGACGATACCGACAATATATATTTGGCTAATTGTAAGAAGAATGTGTACCTGGGACATCGTCGATTTCTTCTGAGCAGGCATCCCGTAAGAAAGAAAGGCAAGCATTTCAAAGGTGAGGCGAATCACCGGACGAAACCTCGCCACCGTACTGGTGCTGATGTACATGATATGGTCAAGGATTTGAAGGTGGTCTTTGGAAAAGGGTCCTGGTGGACAACCTGTTCCGAATGACGCTGACGGACGCACACCCATGTGGAAGAAGAAATCTATATTTTGGGACCTGCCCTATTGGAAAGACCTAGAGGTCCGCCCCGCAATCGACGTGATGCACGTGACGAAGAATCTTTGTGTGAACCTGCTTGGCTTCTTGGACGTGTATGGGAAGACAAAAGATACACCTGAGACACGGGAGGACCAGCAACGTATGCACGGAAAAAACGGCATACATCAGGGTCATGCAAGCTACGCTCCTACCAAAAAAGAGAAGGAAATCTTCTTTGAATGCCTACTCAGTATTAAGGTACCGTCTGGCTTCTCGTCGAATATAAAGGGAATAATAAACATGGCAGAGAAAAAGTTCCAGAACCTAAAGTCTCATGACTGCCACGTGATTATGACGCAACTACTTCCGGTTGCATTGAGGGGGCTTCTACCGGAAAACGTTCGATTAGCCATTGTGAAGCTATGTGCATTTCTTAATGCAATCTCTCAGAAGGTAATCGATCCAGAAATCATACCAAGGTTAGAGAATGATTTGGTGCAATGTCTTGTCAGTTTCGAGTTGATGTTCCCACCATCCTTCTTCAACATCATGACACACGTCCTAGTTCACCTATGCGAAGAGATTAACGTTTTGGGTCCTGTATTTGTACACAATATGTTCTCCTTTGAGAGGTTCATGGAAGTCTTAAAGAAATAAGTTCATAACCGTGCTAGGCCAGAAGGAAGCATCTTCAAGGGCCATGAAAATGATGAGGTCATTGAGTTTTGTATTGACTTTATTCCTGACCTTAAGCCGATTGGTGTTCTTGAATCGCGGCATAAGAACAGA